ATGATTAAAATTTATAGAAACAAATATTAGTTTTGAATTTAGTTAATTTTTGTTATGGTTTAATGTTTTTAATTTTTTTTTTACATATAAACTTAACTATTTCTCATTAAACTTTATATTTGAATAGTTTTTTTGTTATTAAAATGATTTTCTTCATAATTAATTTTTAAAAATATGTTTATTCAAAAGCTATATTATATATTTGGATATTATAGTTATACAAAAACTATTTATATTACTATTTTTTAAAAACTATTAAATCCGATTCGATCCGGTTGGTCCACATTGACCTATGACCCAAAAATTTTTCCGGTTCAATCGTGAATCCGGTTTTAAAAATATTGCCTTGGAGGAATTGTCTCCTGATTGGAGACCCAAATGTTATGGTTAAGAAATTTTTTTTTTTTTTGAGTTAAACCCTCGTAATTACCAATTATTAGGCTGACATTTATTCATCTAATAATCAACCATTTAATAACAACCACTCTACTCATAATTAAGAAACCGACATTTTTCTTTATATATGTATTCCAAAAAGTATATGATTTTGCTTTTAACAACCAGAGTCCAAGCTTCATCATTTCTAAAAAATACTTTATTCACATATGTTCTTAAATTGACGAAAGTTAACGATGCATGCATGACCTTTGTTTCATCGGATTTAGTGCGTTATCTTAATTTTTTTGGATTCTTAATTTGGATCTAGGAACGGAACAAAAAATGCATGATACTACTAAACTATATATATTATTACATGATGTTAAGTGAAAATATGAACTATATTATAAACAAATACCATCGTATCCAAAAAAAAAAATACCATCGTATCTTTTTTATTTTTTAGAGTTTCAAATTATTTTTCTCCTGTAAGGCAAACGAGAGTCCTCGTAGGTGGAGGACACAAATGAAGTTATAACAAATTAGTAGATACAGCGAAGAGACAAATGTTCCAATTGAATTGAATCATGATAAAGGTAAAAAAATTCAAGAAGAAGATTACAAAGTATATATACACTGGGCCTACAATATTAGTAAGCAATTTTAAGTAATCGGCGTTAGAGGT